GAACCTTCCAGAACATTACAGGGGTTCATAGGGACCTTCCAGGACCATCCACGGGCTTGTAGAGACCTGCTGGGGGCTCATAGAGACCTTTCAGGACCCATGAACAGCCTCCAGGGGTTCATAGAGACATTCCAGGACCTTCCAGGGGTTCATAGGGACTTGCCAGGACCCATAGAGAGCAACCAAGGGTTCATAGAGACCTTCCAGGACCCATGGAGAGTGACCAAGGGTTCATAGAGACCTTCCAGGACCATCCATGGGCCTGTAGAGACCTGCCAGGGGTTCATAGAGACCTTTCAGGACCCATAAACAGCCTCCAGGGGTTCATTGAAACCTTCCAGGATCATCCATGGGCTTGTAGAGACCTGCCAGGGACTTATAGATACCTGCCAGGGGTTCATACGGACCTGCCAGGACCTGCCAGAGGTTCATAGGGACCCACAGAGAGTGACCAGGACCCGTAAACAGCCTCCAGGGGTTTATAGGGACCTTCCAGGACCTTCCAGGGGCTTGTAGAGACCTGTCAGGTGTTCACAGGGACCTGCCAGGATGTTACAGAGGTTCATAGGGACCTTCCAGGACCTGTAGAGACCTGACAGGGCCATCCAGGGCTTCATAGAGACCTTCCAGGACCCATAGAGTGCATCAGGGGCTCATACAGAGCTTCCAGGACCCACAAACAGCCTCTAGGAGTTCATAGGAACCTGCCAGGACCTTGCAGGTGTTCATATGAATCTTCCAGAACCTGCCAGGGGTTCATAGAGACCTTCCAGGACCTTCCTTTGATTCATAGTGACCTTCCAGGACCTGCTGGGGTACCCATAGCCCTTCCATGACCCTTCCAGGACCTGTCTAACTCTCTTTCCCCCCACATGCCCCCCTCAGCTGCCCCCCCACACCCTTGGAGCCCCCACAGGAGCTACATAGGGACCTGCCAGGACCTGCCAGAGTTCATAGGGACCTGATGGGGTTCATGGAGACCTTCCAGGACCTTCCATTGATTCATAGGGACCTTTCAGGTGTTCATGGTGACCTTCCAGGACCTGCCAGGGCTTCATAGGGACCTGCCAGGGGTTCATGGTGACCTTCCAGGACCTTCTGAGGTCCCAGGACCTTTCTGTGACCCTTCCAGGACCTGCCAGGGGTTCATGGTGACCTTCTAGGACCTTTCATTATATCATTGGGACCTGCCAGGACCTTCCATTGATTCATAGGGATCTGCCAGGGGTTCATGGTGACCTTCCAGGACCTTCCATTGATTCATAGGGACCTTCCAGGGGTTCATAGGGATCTTCCAGGACCTTCCATTGATTCATAGGGATATTCCATTCATTCATAGGGATCTTCCAGGACCTGCCAGGGGTTCATAGGGGCCTTCCATTCATTCATAGGCATCTTCCAGGACCTGTCCATGTTTCCCATGGACCTGCCAGTGTTTCCCATACCCTTTCCAGGACCTGCCAGTGTTTCCCATACCCCTTCCAGGACCTGCCCGTGTTTCCCATGCCCCTTCCAGGACCTGCCCGTGTTTCCCATGGACCTGCCCGTGTTTCTCATACCCCTTCCAGGACCTGCCCGTGTTTCCCATACCCCTTCCAGGTCCTGCCCGTGTTTCCCATACCCCTTCCAGGTCCTGCCCGTGTTTCCCATGCCCCTTCCAGGACCTGCCAGTGTTTCCCATACCCCTTCCAGGACCTGTCTAACTCTCTTTCCCCCCCCACAGCCGCCCCCCCGCCGGAGGATCCCCCCCCGCCCCCTCCCCCCGCGCCCCCGGAGCCCCCCCAGGAGCTATATAGGGACCTGCCAGGACCTGCCAGAGTTCATAGGGACCTGCCAGGGCTTCATAGGGACCTGCCAGGGGTTCATAGGGATCTTCCGGGACCTTCCATTGATTCATAGAGAACTTCCAGGGCTTCATGGTGACCTTCCAGGACCTTCCATTGATTCATAGGGACCTTCCAGGGGTTCATAGGGACCTTCCAGGGCTTCATGGTGACCTTCCAGGACCTTCCATTGATTCATAGGGACCTTCCAGGGCTTCATGGTGATCTTCCAGGACCTTCCATTGATTCATAGGGACCTTCCAGGGCTTCATGGTGATCTTCCAGGACCTTCCATTGATTCATAGGGACCTTCCAGGGGTTCATAGGGACATTCCATTGATTCATAGCGATCTTCCAGGGCTTCATGGTGATCTTCCAGGACCTTCCATTGATTCATAGGGACCTGCCATTCATTCATAGGGATCTTCCAGGACCTGCCAGTGTTTCCCATACCCCTTCCAGGACCTGCCAGTGTTTCCCATACCCCTTCCAGGACCTGCCCGTGTTTCCCATACCCTTTCCAGGACCTGCCCGTGTTTCCCATACCCCTTCCAGGACCTGCCCGTGTTTCCCAT